TGTGTGTGTGTGTGTGTGTTTGGTTTGTGTATGTCCGGTTCCATATCGCTGTCTGTGAACTGTCAGTTGCATTGTGTAGGACAGTCGCTGGTTTTGTAGCAATTCCAGGGGTCTGGCTCAGACGCTTCTTGCACCATCAGTGATGCTGTTGGGATAGCTCACGTGCATGCCAGCGCTGTGCAGGCACTTGGACAAGGTCTGGTTCGAGCCTCAGTTGATCAAACTGCATCTCTGGCCGCATTTCGTAGGTTTCGCGATTCGCTATGGCGTAGTGCACATTTTGGACAGACCTGGGTCTGCTGGGATTCATACGGCAACTTCCCAGTTCCGCAGAACCTTGCGCCTTCCGTGGTTTCAACTGGGGCTCAGGCCTGCAGTCTCCAGTGTCACGAGCGTGTGCTTGGAATGACAGAGCAGTCTGGATTCAAAACTGCTTGCTTCCAGCTTCAGTGCTCTGGGGGATTCCGCACGCCATGGCTCTGCAGCAGACCTGTCTTGTCCATCTCGTCCAAGAGCGAAGAGCCAGCCCGTTGGCTGTTTCGGGCGCTCCGTCCGATCCGATCGAAGCTCGAAGCTGACAAGGATGGACGAGGGGACGAGTGCGGGTGCGGAAACGGTCTTTGCGCGATGGGCGGAAAGCGCTTTCTCACGTGTGCTCGTGCTCGAAGCCCGCATGTGCAGGATCACATTCCCGTGATCTCCCTCGATGCATGTTTTGGCGAGTGTCCGGGGGTTGCATGTCATAGTCGAGAGAGCTCTGCCTCCAAGGCGTGCATCGCTTCCTGTGTTGCGCTCGCTGCCTCCTCTGTGAATGCCCCAGTAAGACTTTGCGAAAGAAAGCGCAAGTGATACGGAGTCCTTTTTCGGATGAGCCGCAGGATGGACGAGGAGGCGGCTGGAAAGCCAAGAGATGGCGACGAACGTCGCAATTCACACTTCCGAGCCTGGGCGCTGTGGTAGGAGTTCGCACATCGCTAATCTTCGTATTCGGGGTGTTCTGTAAGATCCACCGGGATGAAGCATGTTGCGTTCGCGTTGGGCTGAGGATGTCAAAGTGGCGTGGTCAGACCGGCCGGGGCAAGAAAGGCGCCTTTGCCCAATGATGTCCCTGAGTCTAGACGTACTAGTGCAGAGATTTGCTGGAGTGGCGTCGAAGCGGATAGGCTGGGCATGTCCGCCCAGGACACTTCCACCTACTTGACAGATACATTCGGCGCATCGATGCCCTCCTTCCCGAGGATTCATGAGATGCGTGCGTTTCCGGCCTTGCGTGGCATCCCTGCCTCTGTGCCCTCTTGTACTCTCATTTTCCTGCGTGCTCTCGCTCTCTCTCAATCTGAGTTTCATTTGACAAATGTCGAGGACATGGAGGATCTGGTAAGGCCGCTGAGCTACAAGCCAAATATGGAGCAAACAACGAGGAGCCGCTGGCGAGGTCGAGAACAGTTCAGTTCCAAGCAGTTCCAGTCTGGTAGGACGCTCAAGATCACCTTCCCCGACGAAACTGTCAAGCCGGATGGCATCACAGAGCAGGATGTGCGTGACTTCTTGTACCCCCTCGTGCCACAACACTTGGCCTTGGGCTGGTATGGAGAGGGAGGCTCGGGCCGTCACTCTGAGGGGGATAATCGGGGGCACGGTCTCAAGTTCTGCAGGCACGGAGGTGTATGCGATGTGCGAGACGAACGAGGAGTGCAGAAACGGGCGAAGGCTCGACGGCCAGAGGCCGATCTGCACTGATAAGAATGAATCAGGCAAGAAGATCGCTTGTCGTTGGGAAGTCTGGATCACTGCTGCACTTGCGAACTTTGATCCGTTCCGAAGGCTCGGTGGTCACTATGCTCAAGTGCGGTTTACCGTTGACAACAAGTTTCGTCGAGTCGTGGCCCGTGTGTTGTTGGCGTTGGGCAGGGCAATCATCTTCTCCTTTGATTGCAGCCGGGCTCAGGTCATGGAAGATTTGGGCCACTGGCCCAAAAGTGGCGACCAAGAGGACATCTTCCTTGGCTTGCTGAGGGGATCCCCTGAGCAGAACTTTCTGGGCGCAGGGCCGTCCTGAGGGCTGCGGTTGTGTGTCCTATCTGAGCTTCGTAGAAGCGCAAGCGCCCCGCAAGCGCAAGCTCCGCAAGAAAGCCAGGAGATGCCGCCAGAAGCCGACCAGCTCGAGGTGGCGGGCTGACACGGCACGAGATTGCTGATCAGCCGAGCCGATGCGAGCCGATGCGCCGACGAAGTTGCAAAGCAAGGTGGCGTGCAGGGGGTCTCGATGTATGTCGGTGTGTGTCTTTCAACGGGTTCGGGCTCTGCTCTTTGTTAATTCGTCGGCCTCCGACTGTCTGCTGCATCGTCTGGGATCCAATCACGTCCGGATTGCTGCCGCCATTGCCTGTTTCTGGCTTTGCATCGTTGAGGTAGTTAGTTACGTCCCGGCGACAGTTTGCAAAGCCTAGAAGAGCTGGTGGAAGTGGGTCACAAATAGCACGGATGCAAGATACCGCAGGATCTTTGCAGGAAGGGCGCAGCTTCAAAACAGGACAAGATTGGTTGAGGGTTCAAACTCTGACCAACCTGAATGTGTGTACTTCAGTTCACCGGGAGCATGAAGAAAAGTAATTGTTTAGCATCGTCTCCATTTCGCATCGTACCGGAATTCCGGAAGCTCAGCGTGCCATGACCACTGGCGACGAAGCAGCATCCTGACTGTGTTTGAGGATCGGAGGTTGTTCATCTGGTATTACGTACAAGCGCTCATATCTTGTGTTGCAGTAGAGCTGCTGCGCTGTCGGGCTGAGGTGCTGCAGGTCGTTCGGAGGATTCTGGAAGAAAGCCTAGGATCCAACAGTGCGAAGCTCAGCTCGCCACGACTGCATTGCTTTCTTTGCTTGCTTTCCGTTGTGCAGAGCATGCACACTCTTGTGCTGGGGAGGTCAGGCATCCGCACGGAGCAGAGACACCGAAGCCTTTACCGCAGAGGTGGTGGACAGGTGCCGACTTGACCTTTCATGTCATGAAACATCACCGGCTGTACCAGGACGCTGAGCGGCATTCTCAGCCGCGCTGCACGCCTTGCACGGCACCGCGGCCGGCCAAAGCTAGAGGCAAAGGTTTTCGGAAGCCAGGCCAAACTCAGGGCCTCTCTCGCACAGAGGCGTCCAACTTGTGGGAGGCTTGTGCTTAGAGTGCGAGTAACGGCCTTGAAGCAAGCACCATGGTTTTGGGGGGTTGGCTCTGCACGAATGCAGGCTTGATGATTGCCCCGCCAGTGGTCTCAAGCAGTGCGCAGACACACAGAACCACATGGCAGCTGCGCATCTTTAGCACAAGTGTTTGTTCATGTGCAGGCAGCATCTTTATGAGCAGAAAGCACCCAAGTTCAAAAGACAGATATTTTATGAACGTAGAGGAAGACCCTGTACAGATGGAGCTGATGTGCCAGGCGGGGGCGGCTGATTGTGAAATGGTGTCTGAGTGTCTAACTGTGCTCGCACATGTTCTGTCCAGGCAGTTTGCAGGATGTTGAGCGCCAAAGAAGTTGCCCACAGAGAGGCCTCGGAACTTATGCTCTGTACGATTTGGCTTGATTGTGGGTTCTCGGCATGTGACGGACTGGGCCGGAGTGGCAGTCCCGTAGCTTCTTATGCTCCAGGTTCAGCTACTGTAGAGCTTCTCCTGTTCGCTGCATCCGTAGCCATGCAATTCTGCGGAGCGCTTCGCAGAAGGACACGTGCCTCCTTTCGAACGGAGTGGCACATCCATGCTACAGTCAGGAAGTATTGGGCGAGGAAAAATCCAAAGCGTGGATATGTTGCAGAGCTCCCAGACTGGCGTAACTATCTGCCGGAGACACTCATGAGCCGTTTCTTCTTTCAGCTCGAGAAGTGGTTGGGCAAAAGCAGGGCTTCCACCTACCCACCCTTTCTTGATATTTGTAACTCTGGAGGCAAATTTGGAATGCCAATCCCCCGCCCGGAAATCGTGCTGCAGAAAGGCTTCCCAAAAGGTTCTTGGGAGTGGCAGATGCACATGTACGGGGCAGCTTTGTACTGGCATGTTGCCGTGACACGGGGTGAGGCTATCACTGACATAAGAGAGGACCTCCTGCGAGGCAAGTCCGTTTTGGAGGTCGGCTGTATGAGAGGTGGTGGTGCGCGATATTTGAGTGAAGTCGCTGAGCCTCAGGAATATGTTGCAACGGATGATTCGGAAGACAACATCCGCCTCTGTAACAGCATCCACGCTCCGCTTCCTCCAAGCTTGCGCTATGAACAAGCAGATGCCTGCTCACTTCATTCAAAGTATGGGGACGAGGCCTTTGATGCTCTAATCTGTGTCGAGGCAGTGGCAGACATTGAGGACAAAGCAGCTTTCGTAGAGTCGGCAAGGGCAGTTCTGCGGTCCGACGGGCTTTTGCTGCTCTGCGATGCCTTCATGCCCCGCGGACTTCACGACCTGATGGACTCTCTGAAGGCTCAACGCTTCGATGTCGAGGTTTGTACCGACATTGGTAAGTGGGTTCGTGCAACAGGCTTGTCTCCTGTGGAGATCGGGGAGTCGCACAGTATGTATGGTGTGGCAGCTTGTACATACATGAGGATCGTCGCTCGCAAGACGTGAAAAGCTGTGTGCTGCATCCGAACCGCTCAGCATGCAATCCGCTCATGGTAAGATGGCTTCTGCAAGCGAACACCTGCCAGAGTTCTTCTTGACATTAATGTGAGGCACCATGAGTCGCATCGGCATGAGTCATGGTTTTGATGGCAGCCAGGCAACGTGCGGGCCCTGCAGACTTGATTGGCAGTAACTCTGCGTGGCCGAGCCAGCCAACCTCTCAGTCTTCTCTAGAAAGTTCTACTTGTAGCCGCATAGCCTCAGCAAGCTCCGCGGTCGCGCTGCTCTTCGATCCTGCTGACTGTTTGAGACCATGGCGGCCGCCTTGCAACACGAGCACTTTGAGCCGGGATCTGAGATTTTTTACAGCTGCTGTTGCTTTCAAGACATGTCACGGCCTCCCTGTGCCTGAAACCAGGGCTCTTCGAGCCTTCGCTGGGCACTCAATCTCACGCCTGCACGCCCACAACGTCAGATGCCGCGGGAACCTGCGAGGAAAGCCTTGAGGGCTGGAATGATCGAGAAGTTTGTGAAGCCTTCCATCGGATGTATGAGGCACGCGCGCAAAATTCGGGTCGATCCGCTGCATCCGGGCAATGGAGCTTTCTTGCGACGCATGGCTTGCAAGGTCTTGTCTGGCTACGACAGTTCTGTTGCATCGGCCTCAGCTGACACAGAGTACTGCGAAGGAAGCTGTGCCAATGCTGTCAATGCTAGATGAGCACGACCTAAACGCGAAGCAATGAGGCAACCCAATACATTTTGGAGGAACATCCTCATTTGATTGAGCGCGTGCTCAAGTGCGCCGGCACAAGCACAGCAGCATTGGGTTGAAGCCGAAGGTTCGAGCTGCCGCACATCAATACTCTTCGGAACCTCAGGACTTAGTCCACGAGACTTCTGGCCTGCAGGTACTCTCGTCTTGATGTGCTGCCTTTGGATGCCAGGGGCTTGGATTGTGGTGCTTGAGACTGTTGAGCCCTTGCGAGCCTGATGTCCTCCATTCCAGTGCCAGGTCGCCGCCAGCAATTTTGGTGATTTCACCGAGAAGCATAAGCCCAAGCTTCCGGACCATCAGTCGGACACTGTCCCCACAATGCGTGGTGAAGGTACACTTTCTTCAAGTGCGACGTCCAAGCACGTGACAACGCCGTCGTCAAGCCAGTGCCTCAGAGCTAGTCAGAAATTCACATGGTGTCCAAGCCCCTATCGAGTAAATCTCTGACTCTAGTGGTTTCTAGTGACTTTGATTGCGATTCTATGCCATCATCATCATCATCATGACCTGATTCCATTATTGGTGTTTCGATGCTTGGATACTGGGTTGCTGTAAAGAGAAGAGATCAGATGTCCTGCAACTACAGTGCAGCTGCTGGATAAGAAATGCCAGCTTCCA